ATTCCGGACGCATGTCCCATGTTTCCACTGAACGGGCGCACCTCCATGACGTCTTCTATCATGCGCTTGCGGCGAAATATCTTTAGAACTTCCAGAAGTTTGTATCCCTGTGCAAAGAGGTGCGCAGCGAACTCAGCGATCGAACATATGCCAATTCGCAGCGCTAGCCAGCTCCACTGTAGCTGCAAGCAAGTCACCGAGCCGCGCACGGCTCACCTTGCGATCCTAGTGGAAATGAGTGGGAGACTCCGCTTCAACCCAACAATGATGCTACTTGGTTTCTCTCCCTTGCTCTACAACTTACTTGTTTTGGACGTGCCGCTGGGGTGAAATAATGCTGTTATCAGTACCAGCTAAACAAGGTGCGAGCTGCTGAGCCAAAATGTCTATTACTTGTTGTGGCAACCTAATTCAAGAGAAACGGATTGAGGCAGTGATTTTGCTGCATTATTTGTGTTTTATTTGGTGTGAAACAACATGGCGTTGCATTCGACAGCCCAGAGTTGCTCAGTTTGCCAAAAGTGCGACAAATGAATGCGCTTGCCCGGTGATTTCTGCGGTCAAATTCGAGGGCTAACTGCATCGTCATCGAATTGGAATTGTCCCAGTTTGTCGAAACTTTGTGTGGTACACAAAATCGGACTGCAATTCACATGAATAAATTCTTGCAGTAAGATATCTCTTATCAATCCAGATTAAAAGTGTTGCTCAAGTGGCATCTAAGCCGCTGTGCTTGGTCGACTGGGTATTGCCATCGATCCATAATGTCTATTCTAGCGACCAACGGCACGTTCATCAGTAGTTGCACCCACCACCTCTCTGACAAGGTCACCCTGCTCCGAACGATACAAGTCGTCGCTGCTCTGGGAGCTCTCTTCCGTCATCTTGTTGGCCAGGTAGTTCATAAATTCGACTTTCCCCACGCTGCCGTTGTAGTTCTTGTCCATACATCTCACAATTCTTCGCACTGCGTTGACGCTGCGACGGGATCACAATCAGGGTAACGCCGAATTGATTACGATTGCATAATTATAATGGTCGACAACCGTTGACCATCATTGTCGAGAATCCTCAAGTATGAATTTCTACTACAATAGATATGTGTTGCGAGACAAAAAATCGGCATCATATGCGCATCACGGCCTGCAGCTCATTCGACAAAGCTACAATGCTTTGAAATGCATGCATGCATGTATGCACGACAGAGCATTATTGATTAGTCGCATATGCTTGCTTGGGATACTCCCGCGATATCCTGTTTTGCAGTCCAGGAATCTGTGTCGCAGCGTACCATGGAGATACTAAACAGCAACCAACTGTGGCAAAGGATTCAACGTATTTCACTGGTAGAAAACGGCATGTTTGCGATGCCAACTGCGATGTCATTCTGACACAAAATGATGCCATCACAGTGATTGCGATGGCATAAAAAGTGGCTGTGATGGCATCATTTTGTGTCAAAATGGCATCGCAAGCGTGCTGTTTTCTGCTAGTGCTTGGTGTTCGTTAGTAAATTTGTAGGAATGATGAAACGCTGTAAAGGTCATATTGAGAAACGTTATCAGGAAATGTGGCAAGCGTTGATGCAGTGTTGACGGGGCCTGGTGCCAGGCGGTCATTGAAACAACGTCAATCGACATTTGTGAACTACGCTTGAAACCATGGCCCTGTGGCGTCGACGTTTATCAACCCTCCAACACGGCATCTTATTGTGACGTTCTCGAACAAGCAGTGTTGCGGCAATGCTGCATCAACAATTCATCTGTCAGCCCTGAGATGTATCCGGAAATTTGGTAGGGGTTGATGCAACATTGAAATGCCCTTGGATCAACGCTGACCTTCAGGATTCGTGTCTGTAGAGCACCTTTCATGTATGCACCTCTTGCGCAAGGGCCTATCAATATTGCGCCAACGCCCACCAAATTTCCGAATGGCTGCATCAAGTCAAATGAGCGGAAGTAGACATTTTTAGCGTTGCCTTAATGATCTGAAGTTCCAATTGAGATGTTGAATGCGACAATGTCAATTGTGGGAAGCTGTGCTTTCACATCACCCACTGTGCGGCTCCTTCAGATAGTAGTATATATGAATTGTTTAAATTTCATCAACTGTGAACAATACCATTCAAACAACGACATGTATCTCACCTTGGGCGCTTTTTTACTGCGTAAACCACGGCATCAGAAATTTTGTCCTCGGAAATCTCTCCTGCCCAGCGCAGTAGATGTCAGCACCCTTCGAGAGAGCGGATACAACAAGGCACTACCAAATAGCAGATCATGGATTTTGATGATGATGATGTACGAGTGCATGTTGGTCGAAATTCCCACAAAAGGTGCTGGCTCAGTATGCCGAATCAGCGGTGTATATGCAGCTGTACATGGCTTGCATATGTGACAATAAATATGAAATGCCAAAGGAAACAAACGAACAAATACATGCGATTTCCGAACTGATTGGATTACAAATTGCCAACTGGGAATGATGGGTCATAGCGCGAACGCTTGCTCGTGCGCCGCTGGACCACAATCCCGCTAGGACTAGTTGGCATTCGTGGCAATGGTGTCATGAGAGCGAATCTTGGCAAGAGGGACCAAGCTGTTGTTGTGCAGGTACAAGTGCTCGGCGCATGAATACCATTCAAATTTCGTTCCTGGTAGGAATGGGCACTGTGTGCATGCGGCAATAGTGTCCCGAAACGCCCCCAACAGGATAAACTGCAATTTCCAACATGTGCTGGATCCGGATTCAAATGGCACTGGTACCAGGTTATGGCATTGAAACATTTGCCTGCGTCGATGCTCAGCCTCCACCGGCCAACACATGTGGACACGCAACATTGCGCAGGCACTGTTTCATAGTGTACTGCACGTCATGTGTTGTCTCACATGCTGCTGTGCGATAACCTGCCGGGATTTATTGCACATTATAAGCGATGAAATATCTCGTTTCACCGCAATCTTGTCGACATTTCTGCCACTTGGCCAGCGGTGATCACCTGGGCTCCCATTTTCAAGTAATGGTCTTGCCAGATTTCAATAGTAATTTGCGCATTCCGTGACTCTCTCATTTCGTCACTCTGTCGCTTTGCCATTCTGCCATTGGCTTTCCAGCATTGCAGCAGAATCCGCGCGCGTTCTACTCTCGCTTTGCACATGGCGCGCACAGCACCGTTCGGCAGACGCGCCGTTTGTGCCGTTGCCAGGGGGCAAACACTCCAAATTTCTATGCCCCGATTGCACATTGAAGAACAAATGGGCACAGTGCTGATGCCCTGCTACTGATCTACACTGCATTGTGCTAATTACAACACCCCAACCAACCACCCATTAGCAAGAGTTTCGGTATGCCGGCGCAGCCTGCATGCGGCAGGCTACTGTGCAAATGCCGCGGCTGCAGACCTGCATCGTCCAAATCTAGTCGAACAAACATGTCGTGAAGCTCTTCCCGAGACGCCGTGCTGAGCCCCTCCACGCCTCCTCCATGACCGGATGCCATGCAGGCAACACGACTGGCCAGGCGGCCCCTTAAACGCACAAAAGACCGGCTCTTGAGAGATTCCCGGGGCAAGTTCACAGGGGCTGAGCGGCGTCATGTCAAAAGCATTTCACTGTTGCGTTCTTGGCGCACAGCGGGACAATAGGAGGATGTCGCTGGCCCAGGTCTTCCAACACATAAATTTGCACTGAACACGCTGTGGGGGACTCGTGGAGATGTCGCCTTTGCACCTGCTAGAAAAAGGCGAGTTGAATATGCAGGTGTAATCATTTGGCTGTGGCGATTTTTTCTATCCCTCTGGCATGTGCAATTCGCTGGCTGCGAAACGGCGGCAATCCATCTACTGTCTTTGGACAAAACAATTGCGGTCAACTAGGGGACGTGTTGCCCGAAAGCTGCAATGATAATAACCACTGATCTTTATCCCCTCAGTACCTTGTGCGTACCTGGGCATCCCATATTCGGATGGATTGAGCGCGTGGAAGGAATTTTATGTACTGCACCATCACAGTGGGGGTGGAAACGGGCACCTTCATCAACGTTTTCGCCACGTCGCGTGCGCTTGAATCAAGTTGTGCAACTTTGCACATGACGCAAATATCCTTTTCTGTCGGAGCATTCTTGACGGCTGCAGTCGTGACTTGCTTCCAACCTTGGCGTGCATGTTGGCTGTGGCCAGAACCCAATCTGCCCAGTTTTGTGCCCAATCTGGAAAAGAAATGGAATGGTGGAACGAGTCCGCTGCATTAAACCAGCTTTCCAACCAGCGCATTGTACTTCGGATGAATGTGCACCCTCCCCACATGAAGGAGTATTACAAATCGAAGCGAAACATCCGTCCAACGTCAGCTACCTTCAGATTCACGTTTCAGCTAGCCAAGAGGGCCACGGCGGGCAGAATCTCCAGCAGTCCACGTCCCTCTCGCCCGTTTTGCCACTTCGATCCCCAGCGCAGCAAGCCGCGCCTGACCAGATGAGCTCCTCCCAGCAGCAACCCAGTATCGACGGTCCTGCGGGTCGGCGCCACAGCAGCCAGTTCGACCCACAGGCCGCCACTTCCCCAAAATAGGCTCCTCTCAAGTCATAGCGCGCGGCGACAGGCGGCGTTCAGGTACCCATTCCTCCGCAGGCCGGCATGACTAACGTCGTCTGACAGTGCCGCCCTGCTGAACCGCAGCGGGCTACAGTCGCCGCCCTTTGAGGTCGCCACAAGAGCTTTAGGCGGCAAAAGCCGCTGATACACCGTGCCCGGCTAGACCGTCTCCCGCCCCGGGCTGCCGCCCGCGCGGCACGGCGGCCCGCCCCTCGCTCCGCAGGGCTCGCACAGGCCGACCGCTTCCGCGACGCGACGACCGCAGCGCCGAGATTCGACGACCGCGGCGCCGACATTCGACGACCCCTCCGCTCTTCGCAACCGCACTCGACGACGAATCCCGCGGGGATACCCGCCGCGCACTCGCTGGGAGCCCTCGCGAGGATCGCCGGCGTCGCCCCGGCATCGGCTACTGGGCGCAGGGGCGCAGCTTGCTGTTGCCGTACCCCCTGGGGTGGTCGTCCTTCCAGTCATCCCAGGCGCGCTGCTCGTACACGCCCTTGCCCCCCTCCTCCTCGGACCCCGACCCGCCGGACTCGTCGCCGGCCCTCTTGCTCGCGGCGGCCTCCCGCGCCTGCTGCAGCGCCAGCGCCTCGCGCCACTCCTTCACGGCCTGCTGCTCCACGGTGACGGTGGGCAGGATGTGGGAGGGCCGGAACACCTGGGCAGGGTTGGCTGCAAATCAACAGGGAGCGTGGGAAACGGGCTACACAATGGGCGCCCCCTCCCGGGCGAGCGCGGTTCAGACTTCCTTGCTTTGTGCGAAAACGTGGAGCACAAGGGGGGCCAAGAAAGCGGTTCGCGGGTCAGCCGAACCGGTCTGACCGCATTCTCGACGCGCATCGCAGCGCAGCGCCGGGCGAGACGACCCGAGGGTTTCACGGGGTCCCGCGGGCCCAGGTCGTGGCGACGACTGTGCGTGACGACAATGACTGTTGTGCTTGGGGCGCATGTGCGGTTGGGTTCCGCTCCCCAGCCCAAGTGCGCCCCGGCCGCGCCGGGGTCGCATCAGGCCGTGGGGGACTCCGACGCAAACAGGGGAATACCCAGTGGCGCCTGCACGCCCGCCGCTGAACGGTGGCGGCCCACGTCAGCGCCTGCTGGGTGCATAGGCCCCGCTCGGTTAATCGAACGCAATTTTCAGCAGAGCCATTCAGCGGTCATCCCAACCAGCCGACGGGCGGCTGGACGGCAAAACTGGCGAGCGCTGGGCCCACAACAGCTAGGGCCGGTAAACGCCGAAATCTCGAGCGATGCGCACGCAACGGCCGGAGGCCGGGAACGTCCACCGCATCGGGCACCGACCTCCGCCTGCGCCTGGGCCTGCCGCTGCCTCCCTTGCCCGGCGAGGCTGGCGCCAATAGCCGCCAGCTTCTGCATCATCTCGGCGGACACGTGGGACTGCGAGGGTGCCTCCTGGGCGGAGGTCCCGGACGCCCCGGAGTTTCCCCCCTGGCGGCTCTCCCCGCGCTCCTCCATCACCTTCAGTATCTCGACCTCCTGCCGCAGCACCTGCTGCTGGTCGAGGGCCTGCGCCGCCGCCCACTCGATGGTCAGCAGCCACGTGCGCCGCGTGACCTCCTCGTCGATATTCAGGACGTGGGACGGGTCTTCGGCGTCCTGTACAGGCGGCAGATTGTAAAACGACGGCGCAGTGGGGTGCCATGGTTGAGGCGGGTGCCACTTGGGGCCCTCAGCAGTCCAATTTTTGTGGCAGTTTCTCGGGGTGTCTGAATAACCCAAGGTCAAACTCGTGGTATTAGGAGCCATGCGCTCGAGTCAAGCCTTCCAGATGCCCACCAGGCCTATGCGAACTGTCTTAGCAAGACTGGGTGAAGCTCCACAGCAGGCAGCCGCTGAGACCCTATTTTCGAGGGAGTTGCCTTTGGCAACACATTGCAGCTACCTTGTTGGGCAGGTTTGCACTCTTTCCATGGTGCTTGCGATGGCGCATTGTCAATGTACTTTGGCAATGCTGCCTTGTTCACAGCCATCAAGCAGCAACTACCTTGCCGAAAATATGTGTTGCTCTAAAGTGCATATGGCAAAACAAAATGAATCCCACTAGACACAGTCACCATTGCAAACAATGCCCAGTTGGCGAAAGCAGTCAATGCCTGTTATAGGATGGTCTGATATCGTTGACCAGAGTGACTACCTGCAACATCCTGGGGACCCTTACAGCAATTGTTTGCAGCCACATGAGCTGTGTTCCACAACTGTCTATCAGAACTAACACTCACACCACTCCTTCATCTCTCTTGTGTGTTCTGCTTATCCATTGCTACCATGCTAAGCATAATGTCAACTGATGGTGTTGTCTGGCCAAGGGCTGTACAACACTGATTCGATCACAATCGGCCAGATGCATCTAACCATCGCCCTTGCACCCTTGTGACGATGACCGGCAGTCTGGCAAAGTGAGCTACTGTCCCCAGAGCATTCGCAGGGACATCAGAAGAATCTTGACCCAAGCCAATGTGGCACAGGACTTGTGCTGACACACATATGGAGTTTGCGCAACTGAGCATGGCAAGTGTGCAGTGGGCACTTCAACGAGGGCAACAGTAATCGCCATCTCCCATACGCACAGTATACGCACAGTATATAGTACATCGCAGTATACGCACAGTATCGATGCCCCTGTGCTTAAGGCGAATGTGTGCCATGCACAAACGTGCGATGCAGCAATTAGCACAAAAACAGGCAGCAAATGCCTTGTCTGCAACTGGCTCACTTGTGCACCAAAATCTTCTGCACTTCTGCAGCCATCTCATTGCACCAACAACAACTCGCCCCTCTGCCCCACTCCTTTCTTGTGCTGTTTATCTGACAAAGCCCCCTTGTCAAGAAATGACATTCAACACACCTTTTCAAGTCTATCCATGTTGCTTCTTAGCCTCTGGAGCTTCTCCAGCTGCTTCTCAACCTCCCGGGCTCGCTTGAACCTTGCCACCTTTTGGGTGCGCCTGGCATTTGCATCTAAAGGGGAATGTGAGTCCTCAGCATCAGGGATGACCTGCAGAAATTAAACAGATGGATATTCAACAGTGCACAAAAGCATTGTGATTCACCCACACAAATGACAACGGGAGCTCTTTTCTCCAGCTCATCATTTTCTGACACTAAAGAAGGCGAAATTCCAGGTTGTGGCTGGCAGCTCAGACTCATCAGCATGGGGAAGACAAACTAGTGTGCATAGAAAACCAGATGCCACCAAAAAGGCATTGCAGCACACAACAGATACATATCAACATTCCATTATATCCATGTTTCAACAGCCTACATCAACACACGCATGAATAGCCACTGTTCTGATATGTCTGCACAAATGATGATTCTCCAAACTTCAATGGCAAGGCCAAGTAGCAATGTGACAATGAACATACACACTTCACAAGGGACTTGAACCGCTGCACATCTTTAAAAAGTGAGCATTCTGGCAAAGAATTACAAGACCAGAGGGTGCTCATAGTGCAGTTCTCAACTATTTTGAAACTGCCCAAGAATGAGCTCCTCATTTTGGGGGCAAAGAAAGACGATGTCCCACAATGAGGACAATAGGAATGGAAATTGGCAACCAAGGCATCGCAATGCGATTGTACCAAAGCTCAGACTGAGCAAGACATGGCTGCTGGCACCTCAGCGGCACGATCAAAGCGACATAGTGGATGTTTGAAGTCGAGCTGGCAGGCTGCAAACAATGCATATTCATACGAAAACCCTGGGGCAAGTAGGCCACACTGGCAGTGAAGCAGGTCTCTCTGCAACCCAAACAATGTTCGTCCAGAGGACCTGACAATGGGGTGCATCGGCAGAAAGGAGGGCGAAGCCATGCTACCATAGGACAAGCAGCGTGCTCATTCTGAACCCTTAGTTAAGAGAATCTGTAGCTGCGGAGTTGTTAAAGACCACCATGGTGCATTCAGCCCCGAAGGCATGACAATGCTTTAAGAACTAGAGGGAACGCTTAGCCCCTTGTGCGCAGATTTTGTTCCAAGGCGATGTCCACAGCAAATCGACGATGGCTGTCTGCAGCAAACACAAGGCCGAAGCACCCATGACAGACAGGTGCAGGCCGTCCACAATGGTGACTGCTTACATTCTTGATGCTCTGATGTGTTCGCTTCAAGCAAAGCGTGCCTCCACATCAAGGGGCAGATATCATAACAAGCAGCCCTGCCATCACCCCCCACGCCCATCCCCTCCTCACCCCTAGAAGGGCACCATCAAGCGCCGTTCGGATAGGTACGGCCGTCGGACAATCGGCGCAGACAGCGCGGCAGGCGCGTCCGCCACACCTGCACACCTCACCGAACAGCCCGTACTGCCGGCAGCGCTCCAGGAACGCCGCCAGGCAGCGCAGCGCCCGGACCAGCGCCCGCCCGTCCTCCGCGGGGTCGCCACCGCCCCGCGCCGCCGCCATTAGCTCCGCCATGTAGAACGGCACTAGCACGTACTTGAGGTCCCCTGTGGCCAGGTCATCGGCGTCCTCGTTGGGCGAGAAGACGCCTAGGAGGGCCAGCCGGGCCTCCGCCTCCGCCAGCCACGCCAGCGCCGCACACAGCAGGGATCGGCCCCGGTCGCCGGACGCCGGGATCGACGCCAGGTGGGCGTGGATCGTGCGGGCCCGCTCGAACAGCTCGGACAGAGGCACGTCGCCCAGGCTGGGGCTCAGGTCCAGGGCCAGCACCTCCGGTGGGAGGCCCATCGAGGGTTCGTGGGTGGGGCGGGCCGGGGGTAGGGGGAACTTCTGAGAGGTTTTGGGGCGGTGCTGGGCGGTGAGGTGGCTGCGAGCGCGCCCGGTGGCGCGGGTTGGTTCGGAGTCGCGCGCCTGTGGGAGGGTGGACAAGCGAAGGGCGGGAATGCTCTGGCAGGTTGTCTGGTGGGTGGGCTCGCGGAGGTGTTTATCGACACCGGGTTCACATTTTTGGTGGGGGGCTGCCTAATTTCGCCGGAATTTGCCGGTGGTTGAGGCCCTCAACTTGAGGGGTTGGGCACACGGTAATTTCGCCGGAATTTGCCGGTGTTTGAGGCCCTCAACTTGAGGAGGTTGGAACCCTCAACTTGAGGGTGCTTCCAAGTTTTCCAATGCAGCAGGGGCGCAATCATCAATCTCCTTGTGCATAAAGCTTTACTGACCGACATAATTTTTAGGTTTTCTTCCGGATAATGTGCAGCTTCTGTACAGAAGTCTCCCTGGTATGTAAATCCCTAGCATTCTCGTTAGGCACTGAAACAAATATTGACTGGGCAGTACATGTACAGTACTGCCTAAAGAGAATGCTACGGATTAAAAGGCTGCAGAACAGCTTACACGAGAATTCCGACTTTGCATTTGAGCGGCTGCGCGGCTCGAAGGTTGGGCCATCGCGATTTGTAAGCAAACTGCATTGACAAAGGAAGGAAGTCAAACGACAATCGAACAACTTGAAACTTGATGCGGGCAGAGGAAAGGGGGTTTGGCGATGGTGCCTGCCCGGGGTTTGGCAAAAGAGACGGCTCCAGCGATGCCTTGAGAGGGTTGTGTGGATGTGGCTGCGCAGAGTCCTGAAAGCTCAATGTGAAGACACAGGGCCATGTTTAGTCTGTGAGCTGCCGAGAATGCGATTGGAGAACAATGTGCGCATGTTGAGACACAGTACATGCCATGTGTTTGTGTGCCGGACATGCCGCCATGCCCATGACAAATGCGATCGGGTGGCAACCAGACTGATTGAAACAAAGGCACATGCGCACTCAGACATTCTCAACTGACAACCGGGCTGGCAGCGCAGGACGAACATTCCAATGCGCAATGGACGCAAGGTGGCAATGGTGCTGGTGCTGCGATCTGTATCAGTGCCGAGTAATGGTTGCATTGCAACACCAAATTTTCGATTCGTTGCGCATCGCTCAACATTGAGCGTTCACGGGACAGAGCATTCCTGAAAGCGTGGATTTTTGTCAGTTCTTCCACATTCTTCTTCAATTTGAACGACCATAAGAGGCATTTAAGGCAGTTTTCCCCTTTTTTCTGCCGATGTGGAGATCGCCGATGACCACATTTTCGTTCGTTATGAACATCGAAAGGTCGCGTAACAAATTGCTTCCATTCAAAAGGCTGCAATATTCTTCACCAAAAAGAGAGTCATGTTTTTAAAGATGAGCGCGTGGAGCAAAATCGGACCAACGTAAAGAGCCAGCAATACTGCTGTTATTAGTAACTTCCGGTGTCAATTCCGGACGTGGAGAAAAAGTTGTATACCCTGGATATGGAATAGGATATGGGGGAACCCAAAAATCTGTATATGGAATATGATATGGGCACCATCTTCTGGACATGTATATCTAGGATATGCAAATTGTTTCCATCGGGGATTGTGAATGAGAGCACTAAATCCCTGACAAATTGCCAGGAATGAGTGGGGAAGTGCGGGTTCTCTTGAATTTCGTGACATTTTTGAGTTCTTGTGCCAGCACAGACAAGGGTTGCAACGGTGCGATTATGGTGGATTTCATGAATGGCTGATGGGTTAATGAGTAGAGCATCAGCGATCGGTTGCATTCCAGCAATATCTTGTGTTATCATTGAGCATACCACGGACGCCAATTTCTCTGGCGAAATAGAGAGCTGATGGCCACTTCTTGGTGTTTGGTACACATCCCTCCATACCAACAATATTGCACATGTTGTGTCATGGCGTAATGTGCATCGTGCAAGTATGGAACGCAGGTGTTTGGCGGTGGGAAGACCATTGTTAGTGCACCCTAAATTCAACAAGCGAACGTTGAATCTCCAACCTGGTCCTTAATAGCGGTTTCGTCGTTTGGCAGTAATTGAAATGCACCGTGATGAACTCGCAGTACTAGCGCTGCAAGTCAATACGAGCCAATATGTCAGCACTCCCATGCCCCGATTGCTAAATGAGCTGTTAGCAGCATTGTTTTGGCCACGTGCTGGCCTCCAGTGTCAGGCAACTCAGTACCTTGACGCACTTGCCAAGCGGTGCCTCTCGGCACCTTAACCAATGCGTAGACGCATGCCCGGCGCGCCTCCATGTCCGTCCGCGCGTACTTTAGTGCACCCAACGTGTGCCTCGATTCTGACCCGGAAGGCCACTACCCCTGACCCTGACGGTTGCCGACCGGTCGGTCCCGCGCATGCGCCTATAAATCCGCCAACCGCCCGCTCTCTCACCAGTCCGGTCCCCAACGCCTGGCCCCCCCCCCCCTCCCTCCAGCCAACCCTCCAGCCGGGACTTCGCCTGCAGCTCGGTGAGAGTGGGGGTTCGTGCGTTCGGGATGGAGGGAAGCACGGGCGCTAGAAGCGGCCCAGCGGCGGGCGGAGGATGGCAGCCCTGCGCGCAAGGGGGGTGAGTTGCTGCCCTGCTTTCGAGCACTTCTCAGGTCCCGGGTCTCTGCCTCGTGTTTCGCCTTCCATGCCCACAGACCGCCTGATGAGTCCCGACTGATTATGAGCGGTGAGTGTGCGACCGGTTCCATGGCCACACTGGCTAGAAATAATATTGCTGCCTGCACCAAATCGGTGACTGCTTGCACCTAATCACGTGCAAGCTATGTCCGCACCTCAGTTTTAGGGTTAGGTTTAGTTTTAGGGTGAGTTTTAGGGTTAGGGCAGTTTTAGTCTTAGGGTTTGTGTTTTAGGGTTTAGGTTAGGTAAGTTTTGGAGGGAGTTGGTGCAAGCAGTCACCGATTTAGTGCAGAAAGTCACCGATTTGGTGCAGCCAGTAATTGCATGCCCATTGGCTCGCAGCCTACAGTCCACAAAGCTTTGCGGTTGTTGCATTCGCATGCACTGGAAATCGCCGTTGTGCAGTGCCAAGACCATTTTGCTGGATTTCGCCCCACAAATGCGGCGGCAAACAATGGTGCCGATACTGCCATTGCTCTTGGGCGTGTTTCGACATTTCTTGGGTGTTTCGAATTTTCCATGAGTATTCAATGTTGGTTTTATAGCATTTGGCAACGTTCAGCGTGAAGTTTCATTGAAATGATTGGTGGAGTCGATTCAACAAATGAATCCATGAACTGACGTATTAAATGACTAAACACTACATCAGTGGCGCATGCTCGGATCTCCCAGAATCTGTTCCCCATGGCTCTGGCCAGAGCCAGTACTTTGAGCTCCATGCGCATCCAGCAACTGAATTGCATTGCGTAAATTGAGTCCCACCAATTCTGTGCCCAAGTTATCACTTCCTTTTTTGCCGCAGATTGTGAGAATGCATGTGAAATCTGCACCTTTTACTGCAAGAGCCATCACCATAGTGTGGATAGGGACGGCCATGAAGAAAGTGACACAAGGACAGGTAAGTATGGTGAGCAAGGCAGCTGCGCCGGGGCTGCGATATTCACAAGCAGACCGACTGCGGCCATGGCCACCACACATTCTGTGCACACAGCATCCGTCGTGGACAGCTGCGACACAGAAATCCCTTCCACGTTCTTCAATGAACGGCTGGCGTGCGCAGTGCGGCTCCAACAAGAGATTTGCACAGCACCAAGGCGGGCACCAAGGTTATCACAGCCATGGCAGCCGTGGCTGAGGGACGCACGGATGGCGGGCAATAACGCCAGGAATATTGCCAAGGCGCACAAGCTCCACATCAGCTTGCAGGACGAGCCGGGCCGGCCAATGGGTTGGCGGAGAGGATAATAGAATGCCGTTCTTGTGGGCATGCCTTTCGGGGACACTTGGCGCTTGGGGTGCGGCGAAATGGATTGCTGATTGGGTAGAAGCACTTAATGCAACATATGACTTCAAAGCAGTCGAGAATCTGGGAAAGAAAGCTACACTAAGCCGGTGTCAATTGGTCCGGTCAGGCTGTGTAATTTTGCCTTCAAGACACCTTTAAGGTCGGCATTGTGTTGCACATTGCAATCTTCATCATGGTGCTGCTTTGAATTTGAGACCTTCATGAAAGTCTCAAATGATCTCTCATGATCATGCCTGGCCAACGGATAGCTGGAGCATGTGCAGGAACACATCCTGGACGTCAGCATACTCCACTGTAAGCCTCTTAATTCCGTCGTTTAACTGAGCCACTACCCCAGCACGCATAGGAAGGTTCCTGCTCAGAAGCGTAGGCGGCCTGTAGCAACTATTCAACCCAGCCAAGGCCCATAATTGTATCATTCTCAAAAATTTCGCCTGGAAGCTTTGGGCCACGCGGAGATTTAGCAGCGAAAAGTTCGCAGAGATGTTTGCCCTGTAATGTAGCACGTCCTTGGCAAAACTGTGCTTCATTGGCGTCAAAAGGCGTCTTCTGGTGGTTTTGTCCCATCGGCTGGAAGGACGATACGGTTGTGCAGGGTAGCCCTCATGGACATCAGTGGTCACTACTAGGTGAGATAGCATCTGCAGTTGTGGTCGGGCAACGAAATCAGAGGCCGTTTTCTGGTTGCGCTGCAAGCTTACTCTTCATGGTGGATCCTGGTGCTCAAGTAGAGCAGAGTTCGCGACGATGAAGCGCTGCTCACAGGTGTGTCAAGAGGAGTCTTTGGCTGAAAAAAAGTCTTTGGCAATGTGGACCATGTGCATGATGGGCGGACATCCACGAAGACGACACCAGGAGAGTGTGCAGATGCTGAAGGAATGGGGGACAACAAGATGGTTCACAGAGCAATAATAGTAGATCCTAAACTGAATCCAACTTTGTAGTGCTACACACGCAAGGGGCTTTGCTTGTGGGAGCTCCTTGAGTGATT